TCCCTGGTGGAGGTGCTCCTGCAGCAGGGGCTGAGCTGCGGGAGGCTGCGAGATGTCGGGGAAGCTGAGAGAAAGCAGGACTGCTTGCTGCAGGCCCAAACTGTGCAGGGGCCTCATGTGTCCACTGTAGCTTATGCAGGAAAGAAGGAAGCAGTTAACCCGGGAAGCTGGGAAATAGTAACAAAACAAACAAAAAAAAAACAAAACCACACACACAGAAAAAAAAAAGGAAGGAGACAACTAAAAGCAAGGGGTTTCCTCCTAAATCTGATGTCCGCACCCAGAACTACTTAGCTGTCCTGAAGGGGGCTGATGAGGAAACACACTCGCACCAGAAACAACCGGCTGATGCACTGGTAAAGATCTCTACTGGTGCTGCCAGGAAAAAGGGTCGGGTCGTAGTAGTAGGGGACTCTTCTTTGAAAGGAACAGAGGCACCCCTCTGTCAGCCTGCCCAGTCTCAAAGGAGGTGTGCTGCCTACCAGGGGCTTGAATCAGGGATGTTGCAGAGAGGCTGCCTGCTCTAGTAAGTCCCACTGAATATTACCCACTGCTAGTGATCGGTGTGGGTGCTAGTGATATAGATAGCAGTAGACAGAGAACATAAAGAAGGACTACAGAGCCCTGGGAGAGGTGGTTAGGGGCTCTGGAGCTCAGGTAGTCTTTTTGGCAATTCCCAAGGAGAAAGGGGAGGACTTTAAAGAGGCTAGGAGGATTTGCCAGATTAATAAATGGTTAGAACAGTGGTGCCATAGTTAGGGGTTTGGGTATTTAGAACATGGCTTCACTACGGGGAAATCCTGCCTGACCAATTTGGTAGCCTTCTATGACGGGGCTACAGAACTAATGAACAGGAGTAGAGCAGGTGACATCATCTACCTGGACTTGTGCAAAGCTTTTGACACTGTCGCACATCACATCCTTGTCTCTATATTGAAGAGATATCCATTTGATAGGTGGACCACTCGGTGGATAAAGAACTGGCTGGATGGCAGCACGCTAAGAGTTGTCATCAATGGCTCAGTGTCCAGCTGGAGACCAGTAATGAGTGATGTCCCTCAGGGATTGGTGTAGGGACCAGTCTTGTTCAACATCTTTGTTGCTGATATGGATAGTAGGATGGAGTGTGCCTTCAGCAAGTTTGCCGATGACACCATGCTGTGTAGTTCAGTTGATACCCTGGAGGGAAGGAATGCCATCCAGAGGGACCTTGACATGTTTGTGAAGTGAGCTGATGCCAACCTTATGAAGTTTAACCATGCCAAGTGCGAGGTCCTACACCTGGGTTGAAGCAATCCCAGGCACAACTACAGGCTGGGCAGAGAAGAGATTCAGAGCAGCCCTGAGGAGAAGGATTTGGGGGTGCTGGTCAACAAGAAACTTAACATGAGCCGGCACTGTGCACTCACAGCCCAGAAAGCCAGCCATATCCTGGGCTGCATCAAAAGAAGTGCGACCAGCAGGTCAAAGGAGGTGATCCTGCCCCTCTACTCTGCTCTCATGAGACCTCACTTGGAGTATTGTGTATAGTTTTGGGTCCTCAACATAAAAGTGACATGGAACTGTTGGAACAAGTCCAGAGAAGGGCCACGAGGATGATCAGGGCACTGGAGCACCTCCTGTATGAAGACAGGCTGAGAAACTTGGGGCTGTTCAGCCTGGAGAATAGAAGGCTGCATGGAGACCTCGGAGCGATCTTCCAGTATCTGAAGGGGGCCTATAAGGGTGCTGGGGAGGGACTGTTCATTAGGGACTGTGATAGGACAAGGCGTAACAGGTTCAAACTTCACCAGGGGAAGTTTAGATTGGATATAAGGAGGAAGTTTTTTACTGTAAGGGTGGTGAGGCACTGGAATGGGTTGCCCACGGAACCTGTGAATGCACCATCCCTGGTGGTATTCAAGGCCAGGTTGGACAGAGCCTTGGGTGATATGGTTTAGTGTGAGGTGTCCTTGCCCATGACAGGGGGTTGGAACTTGATGATCTCCTTTCCAACCCTAACTATTCTATGATTCTATGATTTCTGTACTTTTCCTCTCCTTCAGGACTGTTATTTCTATTACATAGCTACAGATTTAGAGTGGTTTATACTATTTGGTTATATTTACACAGATATCAACTCACCCATCACTTCCAAAGAGCCTCCCCTTCCATGCTAATGTCTCTCTTTTTTGTCTCTCGTATTCCTTCCCCTTTATGGCTTCAGCCTCACTTTCTCTCTCCCGGACAGTTCTTCTATCTCACCAGTGGAAAAAGTAAAAATCTAATTTGGTTGTACTTCTTGACACCTCTCATAGCCGAGGAGGTTGACGATTTTCCTCAGTCTTTCCTTCTGGTGTTTGCTTTCTTGTCTTTATGTGTTTTCCCTGACTAATGAGGTGGTTGGTGACAGGCAGCATGGCTTTGCTAAGGGCAAATCATGCCTGACCAATTTGGTCACCTTCTATGATAGATCCACCACAGAACCGATGGACAGGGGTAGAGCAGGTGACATTGTCTACCTGGGCATTTGCAAAATGTTTGACACTGTCTTGCACAACATCCTTGTCTCTAAACTGAAGAGACATACATATGATGGATGGACCACTTGGTTGATAAAGAACTGGCTGGATGGCCGCACACAGAGTGTTCAGGTCAATGGCTCAATGTCCAACGGGAAATGGGGGTTTGGTGTTGGGGTTGATCCTATTCCATATCTTTGTCGGCGACATGGACATTGCCATTGGTGCACCTTCAGCAAGTTTGCTCATGACACCTATCTGTGTGGTCCAGTTGATATGCTGGAGGGAAGGGATGAGATCCAGAGGGACCTTGACATGCTTGAGAGGTGGCTGCTGCCAACCTAATGGAGTTCAACGAAGCAAGTGCAGAGTCCTGCACCTGGCTTGGGACAATCTCAGGCATAGCTACAGGCTGGGTGGAGAAGAGATTCAGAGCAGCCCTGCGGAGAAGGACTAGGGGACCTTGATTGATGAGAAATTGAACATGAGCTGGCTTCAGTGTGTGCCTGCGGCCCAGAAAATAGCCATATCCTGGGCTGCATCAAAAGAAGCGTGACCAGTTGGACAAAGGAGGTGATCCTGCCCCTCTTCTCTGCTCCCGTGAGACCTCAGTTGGAGTATTGTATACAGTTCTGGTGTCCTCGGCATAAGAAGGACATGGAGCTTTTAGAGCAAGTCCAGAGGAGGGCCATGAGGATGATCAGTGGGCTGGAGCACCTTGCATATGAAGATAGGCTGAGAAAGTTGGGGCTGTTCAGCCTGAAGAAGAGAAGGCTGTGTGGAGACCTTAGAGCAATCTTCCAGTATCTGAAGGGTGCCTATAAGGGTGCTGGGGAGGGACTCTTCATTAGGGACTGTAGTGATAGGACAGGGGGTTTAATTAAAGAGGGGAAGTTCAGGATAGATATAAGGAAGAAGTTCTTTACTATGAGGGTGGTGAGACACTGGAACAGGTTGCCCAAAGAAGTGATAAATGCTCCATCCCTGGCGGAGTTCAGGGCCAGGTTGGACAGGCCTTGGAGCAACCTGGCATAGTTGAAGGTGTTCTTGTCTGTGGCAGGGGTTTGGAACTAGATGATCTAAGGTCCTTTCCAACCCTAATTATTCTATGATTCCGTGATTCTATATGTAGCCTTCTGCTTGCTGTGTATGTGCTCTGTGAAAGAGCAATACAAATAGTATCCTGTAAAAGCTAATTGCGTAGTAACTCTGTATTTATGTCAAACTTTAAACTCTGGATTTCTAACTTCAGGAAGATTTGTTGCAGGGGTATAACTTTTTTCAGAAAAGGCCAATGAAAAAAAAAATGGAAGGAAATTTTATCTCAAATTGAGATCATGAGAGTATAAGCTAGGGCAATCCAGCAAGATTTTTGTTTCAGCTCTTTCACCTTTTACAGAACTTTGAAGTCTGTCTTGTGTTTGTCTCCAGAGGCAGGTATTAGAGCATCAAGTGCCCACATCATTCTGGTCACTGTGTGGCCTTAACAGTTTGTGAAATTCAAACAAGAACTGAGAGAAGACCTTGGTGTAATGATATTTCTGAATTCTCAGAAAAAATAAAAATGTGGACAGAATGGTTTAGGAGCTTACCAAGAGTGGTTTAGAGATAATGTTTCTCATTAGATGCGTTAGAGAACACTGGTCTGTGCTCACATCTTCCATGCTTGTTTCATATCCTGTTGTGGAAAGAAGGTTTTGCTGCACAAGGGACTGGCAGCAGGACTTGGGCCTCAAATATAAAGTAGCTTCCCCTTTCAACAGGCATGAAAATCTTCCCTAACTGCAGTTGACTTATTTTGACCCAGATCTGGAATTCTCCATCTTCTGTTTGCCCTTTGACTGTAATTTCTGCTAATCTCAAAGTATCTGAGGCAGTGTGCTGAACTTTTTCCTAGTTAGTTTGTGGGTTTTATTGGTGGGGGTTAGGAGAAGGTTATGACCTATTTTTCGTGCTAGGAAAGCAAGGTACATAAGTTCTTATCTCCTATCAGACGTGTAACCCCTCATAAATTATTCCTGAGTACACAAACTTGGTAAAATTTTAACCTGTCTGAAATTAGTTTCCTCCTCTCTCACAATAAAGGGATTTTGGATTGCCAGGTAGAACTTCAACTTAAACATGAGATCAGGTGTATCAAGATATAGAAAATGAGGGCTAAATTCCCAGCTGGTAGAAGTTAACCTGGCTGAATGTACTACAGGGGGGCTGTACTCTTGTACTCTTACTGAAAGTCTGCTCTAGCTGTAGAGAAGTACTGTACTATCACGAAAAATGACTATTAATTAAATTCATGGGCATAGAAGGTTTCCCCAATGCAAGAATAACCTCTGACATATTAACATCCAGTCCATTATCTGATTGTTCAAGCAGAACAAGATGTTAACATGAGCATTGCGCAATTTGATAGAAAAATTTGAGACACACTGTTCATGTGATTTTTTTTTTCTTCTGTAATCGATTGCAAAACTTCATTTATTTTGTATCTGTAAAAACATATTCATATCTGCCATCTTCTTTTAATGGGTTGACCAGGAAACAGCCATCTGATGCAGACTTTTGCCTGTCTTTACATATATTATATATATATATACGCGAAAGAGACTTCATGACTCTTTCTTGAAGCCTTCTGAGCTTGTTGTGAGGTAAGATGCATCCATTTAATATTTCCATCTCTATTTTGAAAATAAACCTTTCTTTGTTTTTTTCTGCAGGAATCTTGGGAATAACCTTTACTTTAAGAGCTAGTCTTTCTTTATAATGTTTAAAATCATTTCCAAATGCATATAGAGCTTTCTTCATGACAGAAACTGGTTTAAAGCTTGGAACATTTAACTTTCACTTTGTTAGATTTATTTTTTTATTGTCTTGGTATACTTATTGCTTCAAAAATGTTTTGGATTGTCACACAATTTGGTTATGGAAAACTTACTCCATAAGCTGAATAGATTATTTTTCTTTCTTTCCTTTTTTTTTTTTTTTCCCTCTGTAATGTTTCCGTTTAAAAAAAATTAGGAAATCTCTGAGGACAAAAAAAGAGAAAATCATTTAACTTATGTATGCAGACTATGCAGTTCTGAATATAAGATTTTGAGGGGAGGTTTTTTGGCTTTGTTTTTTCCCATCAAAGACAACAAGTGTGTCAGACAGTCTAACACATGAATTTGTAACTTGGTGCTCCCGTATGCCATCGGTGTGGTTGTTTAGTGCATGCTTTGAGAGTTGATTTTAAAGGTCTTAAAGAGTCTCTTTTAATAATTCATATTGATTCAGTACAGGGTGAAGATGATTGACATGTTAAATGATTAGCACTTACAGTATGAACATGTTAATTACTGTATTTTTAATGCTGTTAGCTTTTATAAACCAAGAAAAGGTGTTCTTAAAGAGACACTAGTAGATTTGCAACACACTAGAAAACAGTGTTATACAAAGCAGACCTAGAAATATTTCTTTCTTTTCAGTCTTCTCTCTCCCATCTTATAATTCAGCAGAGATGTTTTATTCATTTGGCTCTTGTGCCTGAACACCAAGTAAAATAATGATTAATAATAATAATGCAGTCATGAATGGTGTTATAGGGTGGTCCCCTACCTTCCCTCTGTGATCAGGAGTGGCTGCTGTTACAGACACAGTCATAATCCTGTGGTTTTCAACATAAGTTGAAAGCCTTTATCTGCTGCAGTGTCTGAATCACAGTGCTGACTAGCAAACAAGTAGAGTAAAACAATTTATAGATACATTTTCCTCCCTTTCTTTCAGAAAAAATGGCTTAGCCATAAACAAAGGTTGTCGTGCAGTAAAGCAAAAAGGAATTTACTTTTGAGTGATGCCACTTGACATAACATTGTGCTGCAGACCATAGAACTAATCTTTACCTATATCTCTGGGCCATTTCAGCCACACCTGGACATTGTATTGGCACATATATTGTTCCACATCCTTATGGGACTAGGGGAGGATGAGTTTCAGTTGCGAATGCTCCATCCCTGGCGGTGTTCAAGGCCAGGTTGGACAGAGCCTTGGGTGGCACAGTTTAGTGGGAGGTGTCCCTGCCCATGGCAGGGGGGTTAGAACTAGATGATCTTAAGGTCCTTTCCAACCCTAACTGTTCTATGATTCTATGAAGACTTGCAGGATGCATTGAGTTAGTGAGACTATGGCAGAGATAAGGCAATAGGTAAATCGAAGGCTACAGGTAGTGGTCAGGGGCAGAAATGCTGTAGCAAGATCTATATGTCAGTACAGGAGATGGTGATATTGGAAAATATCACTTGGAGATCAAGAAAACTTCTCAGACCAGGCTGGGGTACCTCAGCCCATCCTTACAGCAAATACCTCTTAAAGCTGTATACCCAGAGCTGTCCTCCATGTCAAGGAGCTCCAGAGGAAGAGTTGTTACCATACACTGATGAAGGGAGGCTTTTGATAAGGTACTGATCTGAGCGTGGGGCTGGAAATTAAAATAGAAAGAATATTTCAGGTGGAAGGAACCTAAAATAATAATCTAGTCAAATTGCTTGACGAGTTCAGGGCTGACCAAAAGTTGAAACAAATTATTAAGGGCATAGCTAATTATTAAGGGCATCATAATTAAAGGGTAACATCTATATCAAGGTGTAGGGCCATTGGTAAGTCACAAGGACTACTGAATGGTCCCCATTGACAAAGGACTGTACAGGACTGTACATTGTATTTAAAGGCTGAGTAGGAAAGGTTATACTCTGAAGACAGAAATGAATCTTAACTTTTTCTATACTTAGTCCTCTTCAACCTATTTCAGCTGTTGAAGAGTACTAATGCAGATACAGATTTCACTTAGGAAGTCTTCAGTGGCCTCTTTCTATGTCCACATATTTCTTTAAAGTCCTAACATGAAAAAAGGAATCACAATTCTTGTTTCTTTGGAGGGTTCCTTCTAAGTGTTCCTGCATACTGCTTGAGCAGGGTCTTACATTGCAACAGAGGTACATAACAGCATCATTAATTAAAACTGGAGGAGTTAGGCAGTAAGGGAGCAGGCAGAAGAGAACAGCCTGTGAGTTGCAAATTTAAGGGAAGATTTCTGAACTGAGCATTACTCATAATCTTGGAGCTACATGTTCTAGCAGCATGACTGCACGTGTGTCTGGAGCTTTCAGCACTGTCTTTTGGAGTTTGAAAACCTGAGACTATAAGGCACGCTTCTACATATTCATTTTTTCTGGCCAGTCTTGCTATATCATACTGTTTTTAATCTGCAGGAGGGTGGAATGGAGGAGGTGCTAAAAAACCCAAGAAAGCAGAACACTTCTAATTTCTTCAATCTAACCAAGTGATGGAAAATTCACCAAAAGAAATTTTGCAGTGTGATTTTCAAGCTTTCAGAAAACTACTGACTAATGTAATAATTTCCAAAGTCCTGAAGTCATATCATGAAATATTTTTTTGGCAAAGAACAGGTCTGGGTCTACCTTGCCCTTTGCTAGCATAACTCTAAGGGCTGCTTTTTCAATATTCATTTATTTTTTTACTTGCAACCACTATAATTAATACTGAAGTATTTTTGTTTGGGTTTTCTTTGGGGGTTTCATTTGTAATAAAACCAGATATTGTTCCTGGCAGTATTCAAGGCCAGGTTGGACGAGGCTTTGGGTGGCATGGTTTAGTGTGAGGTGTCCCTGCCCATGGCAGGGGGGTTGGACCTAGATGATCTTAAGGTCCTTTCCAACCCTAACTATTCTATGATTCTATGATTCTATATTGTGTTATCACGTGAATACACCTCTGCATGACAAGGACCAGGTATTCTGAAAGCTGCCAGCACAGAAAACCCTTTCACAGGGAACACATATCCTGCTTCTTGGACTCAAGGTACTCCTGTAAATAGAATACTGAACTTTCAGAAAGTGTTATTGCCTAGTTCAATAATAAAGTATTAATAACCAAGTTTTCTGTCCTGTTGGGGGCAATGTGCATCCTCAAGTTGGACTTACGAGGACTTATTAAACTCAGTAAGTCTTTGTACAGCCCAAGACATCCTTTGGTTAGAATTCATACAGAAAGAGGCTGCAGTTGTACATGAGCAGATTAACAGCTTTCCCACTGTTTTTTTTTTATTTCTACAACCAGGTTTTTAGCCTAACACCTTTATTCTTGTCATCTTATGCATGTTCTAGAGGACATTTCTCGCGCATCTCGAGAAGCTTATGAGTCAGTATTTTTAAACTCGAAATTAGGTTCTTAAAACTGTATCCATGAATATAAATACCATCACAGTTTTAGAAAGTGCTAAATATCCTGTAAATGTCACCAAACCAGAGTTTTAAAATTAAATTAGCTTATAATATATAGCTACTTTCCAAAAGGCATTTCTCTGAAAAAATGTAAGGGAAGAATGAAAAATCAGAAATCTGCAATTAAAAATAAAATTTACAGTTGCCCAAATCATCTACATCATCACTGCTGGTTTTGTTTTTGATGATTATATATTGTTTCCTTTGTATAAAATCTAAAACCCACATGAAGACTCTGAGAAGCAGCAAAAATTTGCATTCATTTCCAAAATTTTTCTTTACAGAAGATGCTTCCCTTTTATAAATGTTTCCCTTTTATAAATGTTTATCAAAATATTATGCCTAGAGGTTTTCAAAATGTGCACTGAAAATTCACAACACATGTCCCAGCGGTGAAATTTCAAAGAGGAGCTTTGGCTGCAAAGGTGTTTATGTACTTTTCAATCACTAGCTATTACTTATAAACTTTACTTTTAGTTACTGCCCAATTCAAGAAGCATCAGTACCCTGAACAACAATTCATACACATCAGCTTACTCCAGACATAGTTTTAAGTCACCTTCAGATGAAGAGAAGCACAGTATTTAAGCCTGTATTAAATATTGCTCCCAAGGAAGGTTCTGACCAGGGGATTTAAACGCACACTAAAGTCATGTATTTACCCCATCTCAGACCATGCATTGTATATGAAGTTATAACTCCCTTTTTCCAACCTCTTGGACACATGGGACACAGTACAAAATACTATAAATTTAAGAAAAAAAAGAAAAAAGCAATAAACTTAACGTACTTCAAACTTAAAATGGGAAGAGCACCTATCCCTAATCAATCTACTCTTTCATTTAGTTCCAAACAGCTCTTCCTGGAGCTTTTTCCTGGTTTGGATTTCTAATCCCTATCAGCAGCTACCAGTTGAATTTCAACACAATTTCATTGAAGTGAGATGCTCCAACTAGCCTGTGAGTAGGAGACAGAAATAAAATGTACTGATTTGCTAAATATGGCAGAGCCCCAGTGACCAGCAGGAGGTGCTGTAGATAATTTTGGTTCTTGCAAGATGAAGATGATAGATTTGGGTCTAAGGCTGTGTTGTGTTGAATGTGGCTTGTTGTCTTTATGTTTCCCCTAAATATCAATTAATGCTTGTCCAACAAAAAAAAAAGGACGGTAACTATTTCTTAGCTATATTTCTGCTCTCAATTACAGCCTCTGTTCCTCTTGTTTTGTTTATTTCAGACAAAAAGGAATTAAAAATGGATATTGAAAATAACTTTCAAATTGCCTTGGTGTACTAAATCTTTGGACTGTGCAGTTACACTTGAAATCCAGGATATATTCAGGGTAAATATTTTGGGTAACACCTGCAACAGTTGTGATAAATGCCCCAGGTCATGGACGGTAACAGAGAAGAGCCAGGCTTAGTGGTCAGCGTGCTGGCTGTTGTGTGTTTTTCTGCAATCTGGTTTTTACGCACCCTGCTAACAAAAGCCTGTTTTGCTGAAGATTTAACTAGTGCTGCATGCACTGACAAGCATGGAGCAGGCCACCCCTGGAGAAAAAAGCCTCTTACATATTAATTCCCACTTTTTAAAACCCTCTTAGATATTCACGTAGCTTCAGACTTGCCAAACTTTGTCTTTTTTTGCCAACATCTGGTCCGTTATAGCAGAGCACAATTATTTTTCATGTCAACTGTTGATATAGCTTCTTGTCTCAGTAGGTTTTTGGGTTTTGTTTTTTAAATCTTTTTCTAAATAAGGATAAATCTGCAATAGCCTGTAAGGTACTGGGAAGTCATGGGTGCCTTTACAATGAAATAGAACCAGTTACCTCAAGAAAATCAACTCTTACAGAAAAGAAAATGAGATGTAATAGAAAATCATGATCCTTTTAGTGCTGTATAACCAGTGTTTAGTATACACATCCCCTTCCCACCAGACGAGACACATAAAAGGTAGGTATAATTTTCCAGTCAGTGGATTTGTTCCAATCTCTCTAGATAAAGTACAGAGATACCAAGTGATTTGTACAGAACTTTTTTGCTTTTAAACCCCACAAAACCTTTCAAGAAAAGAAAACCTTAGACACAAATGCTTTCAGATATGTGTCTTGTTGCTTATAAGTATGTTAAATTCATTTATTTAGTTTATTATTTAGTAGTAGAAAGTACTTTCTGACTTTTTGACTTTTTTGTCTTTTTTGGTCCATTCATTTCAGACTGAAATTTTGAACCATGTTTTTTCTCAGATCACTACCTTTAGAGCTAACCCTTTGTCGGTTACAAATGCTGTGTGCATTTACTTATGCAAGTAATCTCTGGGTTCAGGGTGGGGTCAGCAGACCTTATCTCTATTCATAAATGTGGTTTTTTGCCTATGAATAGGGTTAGGGGAACAAAAATCCAGGTATGGGTTACAGTTACAGCACATTGTGGCTGTAACAACCTATTCTGTGAATAACTCTGCAAAGATGGGATCAGGTGAGGCTTCTCTTTGTGCGTGTTTTCAAGACTCAAACACTACGGATCATACTTTCAAAGCATTTTTATTTTTCCCCCAGAAAGCCATATTTGTCCTTGTCTTTATCTTCTGCATCAATCTCTCCCTACACTGAGACAGTAAAGTTAAGACACAGAATGGCTTTGTCTGCAGGAGCACACTCAGACTAGTCTTCCAGACTAATTTTCTGCTTGGGTTACTTTCCTAATTATAATTTGTGTTCTCATCATGTTGTGGAAGAGTACATTTCAAATGAGCTTGCAATACACAGTGTAGAATATGAGATTCATAGCACTGTTCATAACATAGAAAACCAGTTTTTAATTTGTCATAATGCAAATGTCATAATGATTACAAGTTTTCAACCCTGCGATATATTTTTTTTCCCTGGCTATTTGTAAACTAAAGTCTCAAGTTTCATTTTCCCACTCCGTGTGTAAGATCAGTGGAGCAGGATGTTGACCTACCTCCTCACAATCAGAGCTGTGTATGTTATGCATCATGTTCCAAAATACTTTTAAGTATGTGGAAAGGGGAAAAAAGAATACATGAATTATGCCTCTTTAGCCTTCTTACGCTTGCTAATAGATTTTAAATGGACTGTTTGGGGTTCTCTAAGTTAATACAAGGAATTCTCTAAGTTAATACTAAGAATATTTCCTGGGAATGGAGAACTCATTTTTTATTGAGTGATAGAAATAGGATACCTGATTTTGGTGAGACTAGAAGAAGCTAAGGTTTCAAATCTGAATTAACCACCCACTCCTGGGAAACAGTCTCATGCAAAATTTTCAGGTGCATCTCATTCTAGTGTTTCTACTGAGCCTGAAGAGACACTGTAAAACAACATGGCTGTGCACAAAAGCCTTTGTATGGAAAAAAAAAGTGTGATATGGATCACTATACAAATTCATTTGAATATCTTTACTTGTACGCCTTGCCTAGCCTGATTAACCTTATGTTAGGTTCTACCTACAAGTACATCATTGTCCAGGGCCTTATAGTAAGCTGGCCAAAGCTGCCTATGTGACAATGCTCACATGAAAGCTGGATTGTTTCCTGCTCTAAGGGATCATAACATCTTGTTGGCCTGCAGCAGGATGAGTGGCAACACCCTCTCAACTAGGAGTTCTAGTTGTGATGTTAGAGGGAGAAAGATCCCAGCTTCCATGTCTCGCTGGCCCTGCTTTGCATCTGTTGGTCTGAGCCTTGTGCGCTTGGATCTGGTTAGTCCCTGAATGGTGATATTTGTTCCTTACCCTTTGTAGTCTTCTAGGCAAAATCTCAATGTGGTCCTGGTGGATAATAGTTATAGGTCATTAGTTGCAAGTCTAATTCTCTGTGAACATGTGTGATACAATAAGCACTTGTCCCAGTGCAGCCATACTCATTTGAGGATTTTTGCATGACAAGGATGAGTATTTTTGAATGGGATATGGATGTTTTGGTTTTGTTGTGAAATATCAGATCATTTTAGCCCTGTGTGTATCTGCTTTCTCCTCCATGGATGTGAGATGGGTGCTCCCTCTTTGCAGAGGACTAAGAGGAAGCACAGTGGAACACCTTCCCAGCCTGCCTACTTTGGGCATGACAGCCCAAAACATGGACAACTAGTGCTGGGGTCCCACCATTGTCCAAGGGAAAAAAAAAGACAGACTTAATCTCTCAGTAACCGTAGGCTCTTCCCTCTAATCCAGCATGTCAAAATCCACCAAGCTGATGATAAAAATGAGTTTGTCTGAAGAAGAGCATGTGAGATCTCCCACCTCCAGCATGGTAGAAAAGGGGTAGGCACATATCCCCAGGAAAGCATAGCTCAGCACTTCAATCACCTCTCCAGACCTGAGCAGCTGAGTTGTGGAAATCACTTTAACATAAATCTCTCAGCAGCTTTTTTGTCTGAAATAAATGGTGCATAAAGGAAATGCAAAATTGTTTGGTGGACAGTATTATCTATGTGTTTACAGCCCTCAGCACTTTTCTTTCTCTCTTTTGACTGCGTAGTTCCCACTGGTGTGAATAGCTGTGCACGAAACGAAAGCTTCTGAACTCTAGCAGGGTTTAAGAGAGCTCTCTCTTTAAAGCTGTGACAGCTATGCACTTGTGGTTGCAAGAAATGTCAAGTGAGAAGAATTACTATTAGTAGAAAGTAATTATTTTTTCATTTCCAAGGTTCCTTGTTCACTGTTAATCTAAATGTAGACTTTCTATAATTCTGCATTGTTATCATCCCCCTGGATGTAATGCTTTCATTTCCATTTGCTATTTTACATATACACCTTCACACACACATGCGTATAGTTGTGGCACCTCATAATGGTTTTTTATGTTATTCCATCTCTTCAGGTCTACTTTGGTATGTATTTTCTGTTGCCATAACATGTTGATGATATCCAATATTTGTATAAAGATTCAAATCAATCTTTATCACATCAGAACACTATCATTCAAAAGGAAAGCAAAAATCAATAATTCATTAAGCAAGAGAGAAATGAATGATTTGAAAATGTAGTGCTTCTCCCCTTTAATAATTTAAAAAAAAATGCATTGCTTAAATGAAGTTTGATCACTTTTTAGACTGAATAAGTCTGAGTTAATGCATTTGATTGTAGTCAGCATAGTATTCATCATGGAATAAATAGTAAAAATGTAAAATTAACATATTTTTCAGTTTGCTAAAACTTCTGATTCATTATAAATGCTCCATGATTTGAAAAAAATATGGAGAGTGGGGGTATATGGTTTCAAAGTTAATTAAAATAGCTTTTTTACACAAAATTATTCATTTCAAGTTGGAAGCATTCATTTTCAAAAAGCTTGTCTCATAAAAAATGAATAGAGTTACTTTGAAATAGAGAATTTTGCTCTTTTAAAAAGGCATATATTAAATCTAAGAAATGTTAGGAACTGTAATACTTTTGAAAAAAAAAGAAGTTTTGTTTTGGGTTTGGAGTTTTGACTGAAAGAACCAGAAGAATAGACATAAATGTGTGACATCTGATCACTTCGGTCCTTTTTTTTTTTTCACTGATAATCAGTGAAAATCAACCTTATTTGCCTCACTCTAGTTGAAAGAGCAGAAAACATAATTTTCTAGTATTGAAGCTCAAGGAAGAGCCTGTTTTTCTTTTGCTGAACCCACCTAAGCCCATAACAAAACCAAGTGATCTCCTGCTTTGAAAGATGGGCTAAATGAATGAGTCTGTGGAATTCAAATGCACCTTTAGCCCTGCTTATTTCCCAATTCACCAGCAATAAAGTGGTCATTGCTGATGACACAGGGAATTCCTTGTGGTTTTAAAATACAATGAGAGAGTGTCCACCAGGAACCAGAGAGCATTAGCTCTTTCTTTCACTGGGGATGAGTGTCCTCTATTGATTGGTTTTCATTGCCTAAGCTCAATAAGGCTTTTATTTAGGATGACACAGTTTATGATTGCTTATTTATCTGCTGTGTGGAA